TTATTATTGTTGTTGTTATTATTGTTATTGTTGTTGTATTATTGTTATTTATAATTTGTACAAATAACCTCCCTGTGGTTCGACCACGGTCTTGCCGGGTCATTTATTACTTCGACACTCCTGCACTTGGGAGAAGACATCAATCTTTTAGTCGTGTCATATACTCAAGTGAAATTTTTATACCTGATTTAATCTTCCAAACTTATATCTTGCAAAATATCAAGCCCGAGTTTAATAAAAAAGCTCAATTTCCAATAAAACAAATAAGCCAAAAAAATAATGTCAACCCGTATTAATCTATTATTTGTAACCCAGGTCATTAGATTAGAAACACTAAATTAAAAAAAAAAACTCAAAGCCCAACAATTAAATAAAAGTTGAATGATGAAATTAAAAAAAAAAATCAATCATACAAAAGAATAAGAAAAAACAATTATAAGCCCAAAAAAGATCGAACCAACCCAAGTCAACATTCCAAACTCACGGGTTAAATTATGAAATCAAGTAACCCGATAGAAAGGGAAATGAAGAAGATCACAAAACCTAATTTTTTTTTACAAAAAACCTCATTTGCTTATAAAACTTGCGACCCTAGCTATTTGACCAGAAGTATCAAATATATATACAAAAAAATCATGTTTCTTAACAAACTAAATATTTAAAGATAAAGTTAAAAAAAAATAACCATACAAAAGAATCCAAAATAAAAGTTGTTAAAAGTAAAAAAGAAAAGAAAAAGGTGTGAGCCCACTTGATTTAATCGATCAAACTCTCGGGTCATGTCATAACATTGAAACAACCCAATAGAAAGGAAAACAAATAATCACAAAACCTATTTTGTAAAATCAATGTCGAGTAATAAGATCAAAAAAGAAAATAAGTAAAAAAATGATGTCAGCTCATATTAGCTTATAAAACTCGTGGCCTCTTTTATTTGATCACAAGCACCAAAGATGAAAAAAACATGAAACCTAATTTTCAATAAATCAAATGTTAAATGATGAATTAAAAAAAATCAAGTATATGAAAGGATTTTAAAAAATATAATTAAAAAAATGAAGATCAAATTTAGAAGAAAAGATGAAAGGATGAATAATTTTGAATTGAAGAGTTAAATTGAAAAGAAAAATCAATTTTACTAAATAATTAAAAAAAGAAACCACAAAAAGAATAAAGAATAAATTAAAAAAATAACAAATTAAGTTTTTTTAATTAAATAATGAAATTGAAAACAATTAAAAGTTTACAAAAGAGATAAGAAAAAAAGCAAAGAAATAAAAAGAATTAGGACCCAAAAAATAAAAACAAAAATAATAAATTTGGATTGAGTAATGAAATTAAATTTTTTTTGAAAAGTTATAAAGGAGTCAAAGATAAAAAAAAATTACAAATCAAAAAAATAAAAACTAATACTTAAATGCATGCAACTAAAAGAGTTTTTCTAAAATTTTAAATAACTAACATAAATTTAAAAAAAATATTATTTTTGATAACAATCAATCAAGAAACAATCATTATGCGCCTCCTCTTAAGAAAGAGGACACCATAAAAAATTTAAAGATATCGTGGAAGGATATTAATGCACGTACTACTTGGAATTAACATAACAGTTAACATGATGATATTGATAAGGCGTGTAATATACATGTTAATAATTTCTTTTATTTTTTAATTTTATTTATTAAATTATCACATGACTTGTAAAACCAAATAAATTCTACAAAAAATAATAATACAAAAGTCCCGGTTGAAACCATGTTTCGATAATTTTGAATACAAGAACAATTGTGTCATTACATTACGTTTAAAAAAGCAGAAAACCAAAAATGTTTTAGGCCATAATTAATTGTTTTTTTTTACCTGTAAGGATGTTCCTGTAATTTTATTATATAAAAAATTAGAAAAAGACCAAGCTAACCCTTAACAACTATAGAATAATAAACGGACCGTGAAAAGAACATTTACCCCATAAAGCCAGCTCATCCAACTTCTTTTATTCGTTCAGAGCAAAGGTGTAAATTCACTTTTCCGATCAACAGTTAATCACACCTTTGCTTCACCTTGTTTAGGTGTGTTTTTGTTAATGATATCCAAGACCCAAGAGAGACCCTGGCGTGAGATCGAGATTTGTACTGGTTAAGCCCCCCGGTGAATTGAATAGCAGCACTTGCCTCGGAAATTTTCACCTTCCTCTTATTCGGGATCATGTGAAACGTCGTGCTAAATTCAATTGTGCAATTAAAACTTGCGAATTGTTTGCTAGGTAAAAAAGATCCTAGACGAATAAATCTTTTTTAATCTTACAAAACCATTACCCTTAATTGTAAAATAATTGATGTACAATCTTGAAAAAAATAGCTCAATTGATCAGATTCAAAATTTATACTCTAAAAATTACTAATTTAAATCTTATAAACCTTAAAATCATTAGAAATTTACATGATTATTAACTTTAAAGTCTATAATATTAGTCGAGATATATATAAATTGACCTAAATATCTATATTAATAAAAAAATTAATAATAATTAATGTGAATGAGAAGAAAAAAAATAAGTAAAGAAATGTAGTTTGATTGTTTTCTTTTTTCTTTTTTAATTCAAAATGAACCTATTATCTTTAATAATGTTTTTTGCTCATACCAAACCTTTATTTATACTATTATAAATCTTAATTTATACAGGAATATATGGAACTCAATATGCTATTTTAATTATCACAGTTAGTTATTAAAGTGCATAGATTTTAATATTGATCTAATTAAATCTACAAGGTAGCATGACTTGATTTACTAAACCTCATCAAATAAAAACTAAGAAATTAAAAAAAAATTTCAAAGTTGTTTTAATTATAAAAATTTGATTCGGGTTGACCGAGTAATCTACGAGTTAACTCGAAAGCCTAGTAACCGAGTCTTTTATTGTGCTTGACAACTATAGTCATGGTTATTTTTGAAGTTGACAATTTGTTTTTAATAGATTTGGATGTTGTAAAATTTTAGATTTCATTTATTTTTATGGTTAAAATTTTGTTGGAATTTGATCTCCAATATAAATTTTTTAACATTAACATGATTTAAATAACTTGTAATTTAAATAACTTGTAATTGAATGAGATAATAATCTCAAAGAATCTTAGTTGATATGTTTTGGTGAAATCTAAAATACTCTATCCTGCACATGCAGAAAAGAAACAAATGTGTTTTGTAATTTATTTAGTAAGAAGTTGATAAGTTAAAAGTGAGTTTAAAAGAGACTCAAGTAGGCTTACACATGCATTTGAGTTCATTGAAAATAATTTTTAGTTACAAAAAATTAATTTTTTGCAAACTTAAATGTGAACTTGAATTTAATTCATAAAGAATTATTTTCTCAGCCCTTGAATATAAGGAATTGGTCAGGTTTTTCTAAAACTATTTTTACATAAACTAAACATATTTTTTCAACTAGAAAAGTATTAGATTCAAATAAAAAAAATTTCAGGTTTAATTATGATTTTATAAAAGACAATCAAAATTGTTAACGGAGGAATTCCTTCAACTCTTGGTTTCTAAAACTCTTTATAGAAGGGGGCTAGAGACGATAGTGTTATAATTTGTGTATTTTGCAACTTTTTGGACAGTTCGTTCTGTTTAATTAATCACCCTTCTTCTTCACCTATGTTTTCAACTTAGCTCTTCTGGTTATTTCATCTTCAAAGTTTGGTTTAGTCTTTATAAAGAAATTATTGAGTCATATTTTTTTAGTTTACTAGAATACATCTAAATGAGTGTTATTGTTGAAATTCTGGTAGTCTTATTGACAAATATATATGATAGATTCAACAAGTATGTACTCCAAACTAGTTTTTGTTTAAGTTTAATAACTACCATGTATGATGATTATGCATGATAGGTTGTGTATTTCAATCTTTTATACAAGTTTATTTATTTGCCTAGTAGGCATACTAGAAAATTTACTCTTTTTTTTTTTTTTGTGTTCATATGATTGCATGTTTTCCATGTTATTATAATATTGCATAATTATACACTCACATGACTAATCGTCTGTCTTCATACATATATTTGATTTTTGGACAACATTGAAAAAACTAGTTTAATTTAATGCACGAAAACTGAATCAAAGGGAATACAATAACTTAAAAAATGATGGAGAGGATGCTACAAAAAGGAGAGTGAACGAACTGAACAGAAAAATTCTGAATACGATAGTCGATGATGATAAGAGGCTGAAATGGAAGTGTGCGCAGCAAGGAACATGCACACATTAGATTTTGTATGTAGCAAATGATCTAAGAACTGGTAAATCAAATTTCTCCGTCCCAAAGCTCCTCAATTGTCATGATAGGTCCCTTTTCTGAGATGTAATCTTCTCCACGACATCCTCTGCTTTGGGGTATCTCACTGATCATCCTAGATTCTTCCTCACTCAATGTCCAGTTGAATATCTCAAGGTTCTCCTTCATCCTGCCATTGTTGAAACTCTTCACCACCACGCACACCCCTTGCTCATATGCCCACCTAAGGCACACCTGTTTTTAAAACCAATCATCTCAGTCTGGTTCTGTTGTATATTTTGTATATATGTTTATCCAATTTTACACTACTAAATATTGAGAAAATTAAGATGCTAGAGTTGGAAACTGAGCCACAATCTTTCCTTTAGCAGTTGCAATCTCTTTCAGAACTTCATTCTCCATAACCCTGTTGCTTCCCCAAAGGGTTCCTTTGGCTCCCAAAGGAGCATAAGCTGTTAAAAGGATTCCATTGGCCTTGCAGAATTCCCTTAGCTTCTTTTGTTGCCATAATGGGTTGATCTCTACCTTTCAATTAGTTCCCAACATTTTCACTTTCTATACATACAATTCATTTCTTGGAACTTGTGAGGAAGTTAATTATAAACCCAGAGGTTAGATTGCAAACTTACTTGATTAACTGCCGGAGGGATCTTTGCAAAGGCAAGGATGTCTGAAAGCTTTTTACAAGAGAAATTGCTGACACCAATGGATTTCGTCAGACCCAGATCTTGGCATTCTTGCATAGCTTCCCAAACGGATTTAAAATCCATAGGTAAAAAGTCTTCTTTGTTTATCGGGAACTCACAGGTTCCTGATCTCGAGCTCACAGGCCAATGAATTAGATAGAGATCAAGGTACTCCAGCTGAATATCCCTGTATGCATGCAACATGGCATAAATTGATCACGAGGAACGTCATAGGATAAGCTTCAAGATTTGTTTATGACAAAGTTGATATCCTGGCTTTAAATCGATATGTAGGCCAAATTAGTACCGTACACTCCTCTTAAGGGCGGGGAGAACAAGGTCAGCGTGAGCATCACTACACCATAGCTTTGAAGTGATGAAAAGCTCGTCTCTTGATTTGATAAAACCACGAGACAATGCTTCAGCAATGGCTTCTCCAAGTGGCTCCTCTGTCAAGTATAATTTAGCTGTATCGAAGTGTCTGTAACCAATCTCAATTGCCTGAAGAACGGCTGTTTTTGTTTCTTGAGATCCCTCTAATGGAGAAGTTGCTGTACCCATCCCCAATAGTGGCATTTTTCTGCCTCTAGAACTAACTAAAAGGACTTCTGGAATTGTCACCAATTCGCCATCCATCTCCGCACCAGATACGATCTAATTTGCTTAAGATGCTACAATAAGAATGACAAGCTTCAGCTTCTGTTTAAGCCTTTGAAGTTTCAGCAATTTCGAATCTTCTGTAACCATGAACTCTTTTCGAAAATTTCAAGTTTATATTTGTCTAATACAAAGTAGCTGACAATAAAGCACTCAATTTCCAAAAATAAAAAATAAGTATCACGATTTGTTTTCCTGATGACAATAAGGGAGCAGATGGTTTTTCTCTAGCAGGTGCTTAGAGGATATGGGGAAGGAGATGGTGGCTAATAGTTTCGAAAAATTTTAGGAAGGTAGGTCACGGATCTAGCTGCTAATAAGAGGGCAAAGGCTCGAAGAAGTTGGCTTTTAGGAATTTTTTTTATGGTTGGCGGCTAGTGCCTAAGAAAAAAGAAAGAGAGAAGGCTATAAGGGTTTTTCTGTGAGAGAGTGTCTTTAGGGGGGCGTGGGCTTTTTTTTTTTTTTGGGGGGTGGGCCGCTCATGCTCCAGTTAATTTTTTTTATTTTTTTTCTGCTAATGGTTTCTTCCCCTTGTATATGTGAGGTCCCCTTAAATTTATTTATAGGTAAAATATATATTTTTTTCCTTCCAATTACTTGGTCTTCGTGCAACTTTGGTGATCAATAAATTCAAAATTATTTCAGTCTTTTTTTTTTCATTTTTATTCTCTTTCTCTAAATATTTTTTGTTTTTAATTTTTTTAAAAAGACATCATCAATATTGACTTGATGAGAAAAATAATTCAATGATTTTAGAATGAGTATGTTAAGAATTAAACGTGTTAAAAGTATATATTTTTTATTTTTATTTCTTTTAAAAAGACACTAAAAATGTCAAAAATAACGCAAATACATCAAAAATATTTTTATTATTATTTTGTTGTTTTTTTTAAATAAGTATGAAAAAATAGTTAAAATCAGATTATGATAGTTGTCCCTCTTTTTACAATACTTATAACATAAAATCTTGTAAGGAACTTTAGAAAATAAGTTTGTAAATAAAAAAAAATAGGTGTGAAAGTTTTTCTAAGTTAGGAGAAAAAGACATTAGGGTTTGGGTTTTTTAAACAAATCAAGAGATGGTTATCCTTGTAGATGTTTCAAAATTCAATTTTTTTCTTGAAAATCAAAGGTTTTTTTTTTATTTTAAAAATTGTTGTTGGTATTTAGTGGACCTATCCATGGTCTATGATTGAGTGACCTACCCATGGTGTGAAAAATACAAAGATTTTTCTTAACCTAGTCATTTTATAAAGTGATGGGCTAAAATTTTTTTTACAGTTTTAACTTTTAATTGAGTGATGAACTCTTGAAAAATTTCTTTGGTAGAAATCAACTTGAAAAGAGTTTTGTAGTTTTGACTTTTTTATAGAATGATCATTTTGAACACCTATCATTTTAGAGAATGATGAACTCGAGAAAAATTATGGAATTTTGACCTTTTAGATAATAGCATTGACACGATTAAAAGATTGATGTTTTCTCTCAAGTGCAGGAGTGTCAAAATAATAAATAACCCAGTAAAACCGGGGTCGAACCATAGAAAATTAATTATAAAATTATAAATAACAATAATATAACAACAACAACAATAATAGTAGTAGTAATACTAATAATACTACTAATAATAGTAATAGTAGTAATAATAATAATACTAATAATAGTAGCAGCAATAACAGCAGCAGTAGCAGCAGTAATAGTAGTAACAATAAAAAAAAAGTTGATGAGAACTTTAAGATGGAAAATTAATGTGAGGATCAAATAATGATAACAACAAATGTCAAGGTTAGAGGATTCACTAATGATATTTCAAACAAGTATAGTATAAACTCTTATTATTCAATTAGAAACCATACATTAAAGAGGTTCCAATCAGATTATAAATTGTTAATATGATTATATTAATTATCTCTAATTTTATGTTCTCCAATAAAGCAAGAAATTATAGGACAACCGGGGTCTTTATATTTTAAAGCATTATTATTCTGAAGAATGACACTTACTTGTTCGGCTAAAAAGATTTTCTTTTTCACATTCAGTTTTTTCTTCACAGTGCACAGATCTTTCAAAAATTTAGCATAAGAAGGAACTTGTTTAATAACATCTAGTAAAGGTATATTGATCCTTACCTATTTGAAAGTTTCAAAGATTTCAAAGTTGTGATTGCCTTTTCTTTGTTTGGTCATGGCATGAGGAAATGGAAGTGCTGACGGGGAATAAGTCTTTTCTTTGTAATTTTCATATCCAACCCCGTCTTTACCCTTTGAGATTGACTCATCATTTTTCTCACAAGGTTCAAAAGTGGGTTTTTCAATAACCTTACCACTGCGAAGAGTACTGACTAATTTGACTTGATCTATGTGTTGGCTTCCAAAACTACTTGCATTTGCATTGTATTGCTGATTAGTACTTAAAAGTATATTTTTATCAAGGTTTTATATCATTATTTTGCACTTCAAGTATCAATAACTCCTTAACTAAAACGTGTTTTATAATAACATATCTAATAATATAAGATAAATTTAATTTGTGGTAAATATTTATGTTAAATGCAAGCCTATCACATAAATGAAATGATTGATTGATGAGTTTAAGAACTAAAATTAAAAAGACAAAGATATGGCCAAACTTAGAAAAGAGATGCTGGTGCAGTCCAAATCGGAATACTATTCGGTAATTAGGTCATATTTGGAGCTATAAATCTCGGATTTAGGTTTACTTTATACGAATGGAAAGGTAAGACATAGGCCTACAACTTTCATGGGAGCCCAAGATTTCAAAAGGCCATTTTCAAGTCCAAATTATAGCAATAACGAAGAAGTTTGAATATGTCTTGTAGCTTGAACACTATTCAATGTTTGACCCATATCTGGAGTTTTAGAAGTCCAAATGACCTTTTTTTTTTTGGAAAGCTAAGACAATTTCCTAAATCTTTCATGTTTTGAATTAGTTTCAATTTTGACATTATCAATGATGTTTTAGACAGACAAGAGAAGATAAAGATTGTCACCAAGTCAAGAGTTGGTCACCCACTCATCAATTAGTCATCAAATCAATAGTTCTCAATTTTGGCCTATAAAAGGAGGTATTTGTCATGCACTTAGGTATCTTGGTTTCCAGATCAAGATCATGCTCTTGCTTTTTCTCTTTGTATTTTTGTAATGTTTAAGTTTTGTTTTCATTAATATCAAGTTTATGTCTTTCATTTCCTTTCCTTTACTTAATTAACTTTTATCTTCTTTATGTTTTTATTTTGTTTATTTTTTTTCTTTCTTTCATTATGTTTAGTTAAGTTTATTATGTCAAGGTGAAAAGGTTATACTAATAGTGTAAGAATAAGTATAGTGTAAACTTAATATGGACCTTAATGTTTAATACTAACATGTTTTGTATTTGTTATCTTGTTCACTTTTAATACTTTGCTTATTAAATGACTAATCTCGATTTATATTGTATAACACTTTGTACAACAAATACTTGGCACTTTCATAGCCCATATTGAATGGTATAACCGACACCTATGCTATGAAAAGAACTTGATTTATTGTTAACATAAGTTATAATCATGAATGTCTGACAACATTTACAAGTATTAGCATTAATAGAATAAGATAACTAATGTAATCATGTTAACGATTTATAATCTGATTGGAACTTTCCTTATGTGTGGTTTCTAATTGAATAATAAGAGTTTATACTATACTTATTTGACATACCATTAGTAAATCCTCTAACCTTGATATTTGTTATTATCATTATTTAATCCTTACGTTAATCTTCCATCTCAAAGTTCTCATCAATTTCTTCTTCTTCTTTCTTACTATTACTATTATTATTGTTGTTGTTGTTGTTGTTATTGTTATTGTTGTTATTATATTGTTATTATTGTTGTTATTATATTATTGTTATCTATAATTTATACAATTAACCTCCTGTGGTTCGACCCCGGTCTTGTCGAAATATTTATTACTTTGACACTCCTGCACTTGGGAAAAGACATCAATCTTTTGGTCGTGTCAATTACCCATTGGGATTTTGTTATGATTGAGATGGAAACTTACCTTTCTCTTGGAAATTGAGAGCATATGCTAATTTTGCAAGAGTATCTTTAAAATCTGTCATGCTTTGAGTAAGTTGAGTATTCATTGTCTCTTGCTTTTCAATGAATGCATGCATGCAATGATTCCTCAAGATTTCTTCTAGGAGGTGGAGCATAAGGAGGTGCATATATATGAGAATTTTAGAAATTATGGTGTGCTTGAAATGGTGGTTGTGAAGTTTGTGCATTATTGTTATCACTCTTCCAATTGAAATTTAGGTGATATCTCCAACTAGGGTTATATATTTGCAAGTATGGGTTATGATTGGGCCTTTGGAAACTATTTAAAGCATGGGTTTGTTCATAGAGACATTCCTTAATAGAAGGCAAGGTTGGATAGTCATTGGTTGAGTGTTAATTGGTTTTACAGATTTGACATATAATGTTTTAAACAGATTTTAATTGACCACTTTTTTTGAATTCTAGTGCCTCGACTTTTCTAGCTAAAGATGCAAACTTGGCTTGGAGGTCATGATATTCCCTAAGGTTGTACATACCTCTACTAGATATATGAGGTTAAGTTTTACTCAATACCTTATAAGTACCTACAATGTCCCAATTTTGAGCATTTTCAGCTAACAAGTCTAATTACTACATTCCTTCATCATGTTCTTTATCTTCAAAAGTTTCATTGCACGTCAATTCAACCATTTGCTTATCTCTAGGTGTTAACCCTTCATAAAAATGTGAAACCAATCTCCATGTTTCAAAACTATGATGAGGGCAAGTATTAAGCAAGTCTCAATACCTATCCCTATATTAGTAAAATATTTCTCTTGGTTTTTGAGTGAAAATGGTAATTTATCTTTTGAAAGAGTTTGTATTGTGAGAAGGGAAAAATTTCTTTAAAAATTGTTGTTGCGTTTCATCCCAAGCGTGAATGGATCCTGGCCTCAAATTTTATAGCCATGTTTTAGTTTTATCTTTTAATGAAAAAGAAAATGGCTTTAATCTAACGGTGTTTATGTTATAATTTGAGTCATTATGGGTGTTACAGACATCCTTAAATTCCCTTAAAAGTAAGTATGGATTTTCTAAATCTAAGTTATGAAAAGAAGGTAATAGTTGAATAATGTTGATTAGTACTTAAAAATGCATTTTTATCAAGGTTTTATATCATCATTTTGCACTTGAAGTATCAATAACTCCTTAAATAAAGTATGTTTTATAATAATATATCTAATAATATAAGATACCTTTAATTTATGGTAAATGTTCATTTTAAATGCAGGCCTATCACATAAATGAAAGGATTGATTGATGAATTTAAGAACTGAAATTGAAAGGATAAA